GCCTTCGATGACTTGTCTAACTCTTTTTGCACCTTCCCCGTGTAGTTTCCTCCTCACTCTTGCCATATACATGAAATATTTGGATGAATTTACAAGAGAATACAAAAAAATTATATACTTCTCACATTCCAAATTAAAATTTACATGGATTGCATGCTAACCCCTTCTTCATTCGAATCAATTTACATGGATCCATGCTAACTCTTTTATTTTGAGTGCTCGTCTAACTCCCCCCGAATGGGCTGAAACACGAAATTACTTCATTTTTCTTATCAAATCGAAGAAGACTCTGAAGCGAATATGATAATGTTGACTTGAACTTTACAATAAATATCATTGACATATACTTTAATAAAAATCAAGCATATTTCTAACATCCCTAGCCCTCCTTACGCTCGGTTTTACCCTTAACATGTATCTTAATTTTTGAAATATTTCATATTCTAAGGAGTTTTATAAAAATATTAGCAACTTGATTTTGTGTCTTTGCGTAAACAACTTCAACTTTCTTTTTTTTCATTTGGGTTCAAATGAAATGAAACCAAGTCTCATTATGCTTACTTCTTTCACGAAACATCAGGTTCTTTGCTAATCCCATTGTTGACTTATTCTCTATGTGGATCCTGACAAGAGTTTCTTGAGGATTTAAGATGTCCTTGAGATGAGATGATTCCATATCCACCATGCTTAACAAGTACTTGAACTGGCGGCTATGTACTAGGACTCTCAAGTTAAAAGTGTCATGGTTAGTTGTTTGATGACAAAGTGAATGTTTAGCTCCTCATGTAGAAGACGGAATCAGAAGCGTATTTTCATCATCTAAGTGTCCAATCACTATAAAAAAAAACTGATAAAAAACATTAGAACATTAACAAAACAAATCATGTGCCTTTGATATAATGGAGAATCATTTGTATTACTCTCAAGTTACAAGTACTTGAGAGTAGCTCTGTATTGGCTAGCCAAACTGACTCTAAAAAAAAACATCTATTCTTGTACATGTTAAGTGTTGTAGGCTTCCCACAAAACTTTTTTAAAAAATAGAATCAATCCTCTCTGCTCCACCTCATTTCCTTAATTTTACACCACAATCCATTGTTGTATTATCCATATTGCAATTTCTATTTTAAATATGTCACACCCCAAGAATTTACAATACAAATATTCCTGATATGTAACAGTCAAAACATATATACATCTCTTGATAGGACAAATTTACAGTGGCAAATTCTTACAAGGTAATAAAAGAAAGTTTAAGCACAACTACAGTATCTTCCAAAGTTGATCCTGAAGAGCACTCAAAATGAAACCGCAGTTATCCTACAAAAATGTTTACCATAATTTGATGAGTTTGGCTACTCAGTAAGTGATCATCATAATCCTCAAACTAATCATGATTGAAAGATATCAATATTTTAAAAAAGGAGATTTATTAATAGAAATGCATTAACAGTTTCACTTTAAAAAAAATGCATAATTAAGTATATTTCGAATAATTGAAATGTGTATAACATTTTAACGGCAATGCATAATTCAAAGGATTTCACAAATTACCCTACTGGCGTCCCAAGTAGGTCACCTATATACCCCATCAGCGTCCTGATGGGTCCACTTAATCCCTATCGGCTTCTCAGATAGGTCCACTTATACCTCACCGGCGTACCGGATGAGTCCACTTAATCCCTACTGGCGTCCCAGATAGGTCCACTTATATATCACCGGCGAACCAGATGAGTCTACTTGCATACTTAAAGTATTTCTAAATCTCTTTAAACATTCGAAAGCAGCAATATCATGTACTCAACATATCATTGCAATTATTAACATGAATTTCACTGAAACCATTAATAACAATCACTTTCAATAACATTTCTAAAATAACCAGTCAAACATTTTGGGCTCAAATTTAGAAAGGTAGCAGTTTGTAAAGACATTCTAGCATAATTGCCAATCTAATATGTATAGAAAAACTCTTACAGAAATTCAAGAATACATAATTATTACAATTTATGGGATGTCAATTCGCAAATAAACATTTCACAGACAATGCTATAATCAATTGCAAAAATATCAGTTTTCAATTAATAAGGCAGTCATTTGCACATGAAATTTACAATGTATAAATATCCAAAAACAGTAGAAAGAAATCTCGCAATTTTACTAAAAGCAAAAATATGACATTTATTTTTAATAATTTTACAGTATCTAAAATTTTCTAACAATAGACAAGAAAAATAAATAAATTTATTTATAAGAATTTACAGCATTTAAAAATTTCTAACATAGATACAATATCACAATTTTATTAAAAAGATTAATTTTCAAAATAAAAAGGTCGCTTGCACATAAAATTTATCGGGCCTAAAATTCATGATAATGAGCAGAAATAATTATTTCATTTCATTTTTAAAAAGAACAGATTATTTTTCAAGGTAATGAAGTCACTTACCTAAAATATTTAAGAGGGTGCTTCCGATAAAAATTCGGCTAGAGAGAGAAAGAGCTCACTGCATTTCGACTAGAGAGAGATCTCAAAATTTTCTAAAGTGAGAGTCCTCATTTTTTTTATTTAAATTCTTACGATACCTTATAATATTCTTTTATTAAGTTACACATCACACATGAGGTGTAACAGTTATATTACTTCGTATACGCTTAAAGCCCATGTCCTATGCAGGACGTGGCAAAGGTGAGCAAAAGCTTTTAAAAATAGTGATGGTCCCTAAGGACCATCATACTTATATGGACCATCACTTATTAAAAGTTTCTTTTCTTTTTTTTTTTTTGAAATTTTAGGATTATTACATTTTTCCCCCCTTAAAGAAATTTAGTCCTCTAATTTTTTGTACCTGATTACTGAAAAAGATAAGGATATTTTTCTCTAATATCGTCTTCTCGTTCCCAAGTCAACTCTTCTCTTGAATGGTATTGCCATAATATACGGACCAAAGGAATCTCCTTGTTGCGCAACACTTGTACCCTTCTATCCTGTATCAAAATTGGCTGCTCAATGAAGGATAAGTCTTTCCTGATTGGTGAAGGTTCAAATTTCAAGATATGGGATGGGTCAGGCTGATATTTTTGTAGTGATGATACATGGAAGACATTATAGACGTTTGCCAATTCGGGTGGTAAGGCAAGTTTATAAGCGACACCTCCGATTCGTTCCAGAATATCAAATGGGCCGATGTAACGTGGGCTCAGCTTTCCTTTCTTGCCGAATCTCATAATGCTTTTTATTGGTGAGATTTTCAAGAAAACTCGATCGCCTTCCTCAAATTCAAGATCTCTCATTCGGTTATCGGCATAACTCTTTTGCCGACTCTGAACTGTCTTGAGCCTTTTTCGAATTAATGCTATCTTATATATGGTTATCTGGACAATTTATGGCCCCAAAAGCTTACTTTCACCAACCTCGTCCCAACAGATGGGTGACCTGCATTTCCTTCCATACAGGGCTTCATATGGTGCCATCTGAATATTGGCTTGGAAGCTATTATTATAAGCAAACTCAATCAGGGGTAAATGGTCATCCCAGCTTCCTGTAAAGTCAATGACACAGGCCCTTAACATATCTTCCAAAGTTTGAATAGTCCTCTCCGATTGTCTATCAGTTTTGGGGTGAAAGGTAGTGCTAAAGGTGAGTCTCGTCCCCATGGCTGACTGTAGCCTAGCCTAAAATTTAGAAGT